GCCGTAAAGAAGTTCGTTCGAAAGCCAGCATCCTGAGACACTGAATTATTTCAAAATCATGCTGCATGAAGATTAGTTTTTCAACACTATCCAAGTAATCGTATCGAGACGAAAATGCATTACAGAAATTTCAGTTAACATTGAATGAGTTAGCACACTTACAGTATCATATCGCATTCCCGGATTGTGTTCTTGTCCGCTTCCTGGGGGCCAGCTCAATCTGATCTGCACAGTTTAAGCAGCACAAGTTTCATAATGGTTCATAAAGTGTCCCGTGGACTTCTAATTGGTAGTTGGACTTGGAGTCCTTCTGAATTTCTTCATTTTGTAGGCGAATTTTTTGAGCTGCAGAGAGTGCATATAGCTGCATGCGCAGGAAACATTTTACAGACGGAATTTAGGCGAATCGGCAAGTTTTGGTCTCAGAGGCCTTCCTCTTTATGTCTTACTTTGCCTGTTTCATATGCGGACCTGAAGCGAAGCACTCACTCCCGAGTCCGATGCCGACACGTAGGCAGAAAGACTGGAGACGCGGTCGGAGACAGCGGCCCATTGCACTAAAGAGCACGTCTGCGCACAGACGACCAGATGCGGCTTCGATCTCAAATGCGTGGGCGGACCATGGAGGCAGAATTTAGGAGAAGCCGTTGCATCCTGACAGCCCATCCCGAGGAGCTGACAGCCTTCTCAACCACGGCCTTTAGCGCACTGGGGTACTTTGAAGTTGCGTTAGGTGGTTTGAAGAGACGCACCGAAGTTTCGTGGGGACGGGGGTTAATTCCCCACAGTTGACCTCGCACACGCTGCCCGCTCCTGGGGCACCAGTTCACTGTCATAAACCATTCCCTGTTAAGTCTTAATTTTTATGTTTGGTGCGAAGATATGATAGTTGGGATCAAAATGAACAGGGCTGCAGATGTTATCACTTATCAAAACTTGTCGGAGCACAAACCGGTTGTTGTTGGAGATACTCGGGTTTTACTCGAGAGCGTTGTTGGCATCAGTTGGTTGGTAAGGAGAAGTACCACCCTGCAAAATTATGATGGCCATTCAGTTACAGTAAACATCCTTGTAACCAAGGGCATCCTGGAGAACCCCTGTTCGTCATCAAATTGGCAGACAACTGACTTCGACAGTGCATGTTCGCACAGATCGTTCTCTCACCATACGACTAACTAGATGGCTTGCTCATCCTTATACTAAAACATAACTTTGTCACAGAACGTAGTTCCTTATGCGACGTTGTTTTTTGATCAGAGTGCTCATTGGTATACGCCCTCTGCGCATAGCCTTAACAGACATATTATAACAATGTAGCGTCCAACGAACAATGTTGATTTCCTTTTTATTTTCAGACCGTTTTGGCCCTCCCTACCTACGCCTGAGAACTGCCATGTCATGGATAATCCATCACAGAGTGGTCCTTACTATGTTTAAGAATACGCACTAACTACTCACACAGAAGCAGTCCCATTGCTCGCTTCTTATCTGCTCACAGGCGACGTGCCACGGGAAATACTAATGCGTGGGTCAACTCATGAAATGCCAACCGAAATTCCGAAATGTGTTTTCGTTCGAAAAGATTTATTAAGTAGGGTTGTAAAAGTTCTCAGCCTGCAACAAAATTCAATAATATTTCAGTTACCTCGGGAGGCCCGCTTTCGACTGAACTTCCTTCCGGCTGCATGAAAAAAGTACACTCTGTAAAAAAGACTGCTTAGATAACACGGATTTTTCTCATAGATTTTCGATGCCCCTAAAATTCCAATTATATTTCATGAAAGACATGCATAAAAAGTATTCATTCCTTCGCTCATTTGGTAGAAAGTGTCGCCCTCTTCCAATATAATGCACAAAGGAAGGGTATAATTAGGTTTTCGTAAAGTTTCTAATTGTGAGATTTTTTAATACCGTGAAAAGGCCGTTCAGGAATCGTCATGTCTCTGTATTTACCACTGTAGCTTGTAAAGTTAAAAATGTAGCTCAAGTCCACTGCTAAATTTTATTGATCCCATATGGTCTCCTCTTAATACCGTAGAGAAATGTGTGCTTTTCCTTACGCGGAAGACATACGGCCTGTAATTTAGAAACAATGAATGCAAATGTAACGGCATGTTGGGTTCAAAATCATTGGGTAATCGTAAAAGGTTTTGAAAACCAAGTTATACCCTTTCTCTGAGCATAATATCGGGAGAAGGTGGCCTTTTCTACCGAATGATCAAGAAAATAAATATTTCTATGCATGTTTTCCATGAAATATAATTGAATGTTTAAGGGCATCGAAAATCAATGATAAAAACTCGTGCTAATTATGTAGTCCTTTTTTGCAGCGTTTGGTTTCTGGATGCGGCCGAAAAGACGTTCTATTGAAAGCCGGCATTTTTAGGTAACTGAATTATTATAGGATTATGCTGCATGGTGATTAGTTTTACAACCCTACTTAATTATTCTTTTCGGGAACGAAAACGCATTCCGGAATTTCGGTTGACAACTCATGAGTTGGCTCAATCTACTGTAATTTGGAGTGCGTGTAGCCACCCGCTTTCAGCCAATTACTATTGTGTTGATTGGACAAAATTCCACCAACCGTATTTCACACTTTAAGTGAGCTTAATCCACTTCCGAAGAGTTTGATTTTGCCCCTTTTGGCGTCAGTGGATTTCGCATACACAGAGTATGATTCTCACTTCCAGAAAACAGTTGGTGCAGACATTTACAACTTATAATCAAGCCTTTATATTACAAAACGCAGTGAATGTGTGGCTTAGCCCTGCGTAAGTAGGTGTTTGGTTTTAAATCACAGCTCTCTCGGATATCTCTTTTATTAGAATATTCGAGGCCACATTTTCACCATGTAGGGACCATTTGCACTTTTGTCGAGTCTGGTAAGTAAGTAACGATGACTGCCCGTAAAATCCCTAAATCCGATTTTGGACGCAACACTCACCAGTGAATATGCCCACTGCCGATTTACTCCCATAAATTCCAATACGGTGAGGATAACTGTAGTCGAAACTGTGCATTTTCGGTCGTCGCTGACTTTGTAGGTCATAAAGGTGTCCCGTGACTGGCGGGCAATGTGAGATGAGTCTAGTCGGCATGTCTCTCCGTCAGTGGTAATTTGTACGAAGCCTCGTGTTGTCGTGTGGGGCACACCGGTAACCGACGACTTCGGACAGGCCGGACACCGAATCCCGTCGCCACACGCGCAGTCTTAGCCCAGACTTACAGCCGAATCACTCATCCTCCTTACAGACCCCAAGCTAAATAGGATCATTCTTCAAAGGCAAGTCGGTTTACAAGCATCTATGCTAACGCGTTACCAAACGGTGCTCAGGATATGAACCAACAACCGATCCACGTAGACTAAGCATGGGTCGGATGACAGGTTGCAGGGCCTATGTGGCGAATATCTGCTGGCCGCATTACCTAAAAACCAAAATGACTAGTCTCGTCAAACTTTTAGCTTCACTGGTTGTCCTCTACGTATAATATTGAACAAAAAGCTGTCATTCTCCCATCAATTGACAATTAGCTTATATCGCTGTTCCAGCCGTATTTTCTACTGGCCACACGAACTAGTTTCTGTTTTGGCAATCTCTTCATTCGCAATTTACAACGATGAAAATCATAATGACGTCAGTTTTGGCTACTGCCTCTTGAAAATGAAGCATCTTTTGACTTCCAGCTGAATACTCTTGCCTATATTGTATTCATGAGAGCATGCTTATGCAATAACTCTATAGTAGCTCAAAAAAATAAAATTAAACATTTAAAATGTTATTCGCCAAAAGCACGTTTAAGAGTATATTTTCCTACATAGATGTGAGTTGGGCAGATTGTTGCACGCTACTTTTTGATTAAATCAGTTAAATACGCATTTTAAGGCAGTCAATACATTTTGATATACTGTTGTGGTATGAATAAAGAGGGTTTTTTAGATTCTGAAGACTGTGTTGATGGATCAGAATGTATTTTTTGGAAACTAAATATTTTTTATTCAACAGAAAGGTTTGATTGAGTTTACACCTCCTAGACGTCTATAACCGAGGTGTTCCACTGCAGAAAATAATTGCACAAATTTGTAAAATTGTTTCAAAACTCCAGCAAGTATGTCGCTTTATTTGAGGTTTTAATTTCTTGAATTACGCTTTTTAATTCATTGTTTAACTGTATCTAAGTGACCAAATTGAAACATAATTTGTCAGTCTTACTAAAGTTATGCATCTTCAACATCAGACGAAGACCAATGAATGCCCGACACTCTGTTAGAACACGGCGAATTGGACAGGAGGAAAATTCAGAAATGATTTAAATCTTCGAAATTTTATCAGGTAAAAGTGGAGAAAAATGATAAAATATATCTGCACACTTTTGACTGCAGTAGTTTGCGCAAGTGCATGCTCAAGCGGAACAGGTTCGTCTTCTTAGTTTGAATATTCTTTAATCTTCTAAATGTCATTTTAGATCGAGGCGAGTGCGGCAACTACCATTTCCGTTATCATATAACTAACAATGATATTTCACACTTACTACCCCAGATTTTAATTTAAACAAAGTTAGCCAAAGTTAACATCTTACGCATATTTCGAAATGTAAGGTACTAAGAGTTGTTTTTTGCAAACGCCTTAAATTTGCGTCGATATTATTTTCTGTTTAACGACCCAGGCACAATTGCAGATTTAGATTAAAAACGTTCCGCAAACTTCTGCCCGACTTTGCTCATTTTTGTAAAAGTGCGTTCAGCCGCGACCGAAATGTGCCCACATCAACGAGTGGAGTTCACTCTGCAGGAGATTGTTCAACATCTACTAGAAAAAACGAGCGACGTCAGTGCAACTCGGAAAACTGGTTCGGAATTTTTGACTCGTGTACACATGCAATTGCACAAGCAAGCTGAAGTGCATAACTGCACGACCATCAAAGTCATTCCGCGAATGAATTTCAAACAGTTTATGTGCCAAGCAGTATTTCCCTCCGTAAACACGTGGTTTGAACATATGGTGCGTTTAAACCAGACTTTATTTATAATCTCTGCTAATTTTTTAATAACCCAGATGATATTTGCTGTCAAATTAAGCGCATATACTGTTAGTGACTAATCACTTAAAATATTAACCGAATTCTGAAATGCTTTCTCGATTTGGAAGGATTACTAAGGTGGGGTTTCGGACACGACAGATCGTTTGCTTTTGAATGCACTCCTTTTTGCTGTCGGCAAAAACCGCTTTCAGTAAAAAAACAACTATTTAATAAGTATGCACTTTACTTATTGATTTTCTATGTCCCTATAACTTCAAAAATATTTCGTCAAAAGCACGCACAAAAATATTATTTCTTGCACCGGTTCGGTAGTATCCTACGTTTTCGTCAAATTTTGTACTTGAAGGAAGGGTAGCTGACGGTTTTAAAGTGTTTGCAATTATGAGACTTGTCATGACTGTGCAATATTTACACGAATTAATACCTCTCCTTTAATACTATACATTACAGTCCGAATCTGCTGCAATATTTTATGAGCCTCTTATGACTTTATGAAAATGGAATTAAAAATGCATGTTTTCTCTTACACGAAAGGTATACTGACTGAAAACGTAAAACCAAAATGCAATTGCAAATTCAGTTCAGTATTAATAGAGGGATTAAAAAACTTTCTAAAAACCAAAAATAGGCTGCCCTTTAGTATGCATTGTTTTCTTCCAACTGAGTCCAGAAAATAATACGTCTTGGACGTTTTCAATGAAAAAAACCTTTAAATCTATGAAGGTGTCGAAAACCAATAGAGAGAACTACGCCAATTGAGTATCCATTTTTTACCGATCGCGGTTTTCGTAGGTGGCCAAAAAGAAGTGCCTTTAAAGGTAGCGCTATGGTGTGTCCGAAATATCCGGGGATCACGTCACAAAATAATTTTTCTTACATAGCCACCTAGGCAATGCTTCCTAAACGAATAGGCAGTTCTGAATTTCGGTCAAAATTTCGTGAGATTGGTCACTGACTGCTTACCTGTGGATGATGTTCTTTTCCTAGGATCCATTCCGCAGTGTCGCCCACCGTGAAATCAGGTTCAACACCGACTTTCATCTGATATTCCTCAATGTGTCCTCAAAGGTTACAGTGGATATGACATATGCGCACAGCGCGGACAATGCAACCGATCTAATTCTCCTTTCCGCCATCGAAATGTACAATGTACCAAGCAATGTCTCACTGTCCGCTTTGACGAGTCCCAGCCGCCTATCTTCCATATGGGCAAAAGTAGTCCTGGATGATATAGAAAGCTGGGTAAATGAAGCAGCTTTGCACTTGAAACCATTGTATTGCTATTACTAGGTCCAGAACATGCCTGTACGCTTTCTGGCTTTCCCTTCTGAATCAATGCTCCCACCTATGCCTATGTTTGAATGTACAGCGCTTGTTTTAAAATACTCAAGTTGGTTTTGATTTAAAACCATGGATGGCTCCATGGGTTGCGTAATACTCGACTATTACATTGCAGTAACTTCACTGTGATAAGCGCCAAACCATATTTTAAACTGTCGTCTAGCAGAAGGGGGGCGTCAACAAATTTCTATCGTAAATATTCAACTGAAAACAACGACAGTCTAATTCACTATTTATTTTCTTTTCCTAAGTTCTCAGAATATTCCCATGATACGTCTTAAAAACACAAATTGACACACCCCCATGCGGTGTTTCATCATCAGACCCATGAAGTTATACAAAGGGTGAAAATAGGACACGTTGACGGGGTTTATAAGTGTCCTTAATGTTGGTAGCACTCATCGTTCCCATGCTGCCTGCATTACGATGTTGGCCTGTTGTGATCCTTGGCCCGGGGGGAGAGGGGTTCGGGGCAGACTGTGAGCGATGTTTGTTGGTCGAGAACGGGGAACACTATTGGCTGTCATTTTGGGATAAAAGGGGACGCTGCATTGCGCTCTTTCGCCCTCCCTCAGCAGGAGGATTTTGGCTCGAATTGTGACTTTGTCAATGTCTTAAGTTAAGGCGTATTTTTTCAAAGATAACGAAGATGTTGCATACTTCCTTTTTGTTATTCCCCACCAGGCTGACCGTTTTTTAACATCACCTTGTCTTTCGTGTGCGCAAAGATTTAAAGACCTAGACGCTTGCACTAGAAGAGCGTTTTGCGAGCATACGCGTGCTTTCAATAAATTCTCACCAGGCCAGTTCATTAATATGGGAACGAGGTACAAACTGAAACGTGTGAGCGATAAGAGGAATCGATTAAGGTTCGTTCTTTCATACAAATGGGGTATGTGGACAGAGTGGGGAAGGGATGGGAGAGAAGAGGCAGTCAGTGGCATTGAGGGTTAGGTTGAGTCGTGCCACAGGGGAGGAGGGAAGGGGGCGGGGGCGCGGAGACCTGCATACAGCTAACCGATGCTTGACCACGGCAGACGCGGAGCGTGCAAGAGATTCATCTGCGCGCACAGGACCGGCCCCTGTAGCCTGCTGGCAGTCGCTTCTGCTATCGCTGATCGGCGTTGACCCAGTCGCTTAGGTTATTTAGATGGGACCTTGTAAATCACACGGAAGGCTTCGTTGGGATCAACACGGTGGCCAGAATCAACCATGTGTGCGAGGATGAAGTTGTTTATGTTCTTAAATTCACCTTTCCTCAGCCATGCCAACAGGTGTTCTCGTATTCTTGTGGATAGGCGCCGACTCGTACGACCAATGTAGCCTGTCCCAGAGAAGCAAGTAAAGGAGCAAATGCAGATGGAGGCGGCCTGAACTGATAGCCTGTTCTTACCTTCCCGGTGTGTAAGATGGGGTTGGTCGAAAACAATGCTTGAACTCTTGCTGCCGAGAAGGTCCGTGAAACGGCTTCGTCAAGGTGCTTTATCAGGACCTTACTTGCCGCGTCCCCTTGAAAGGGGACGTTGAGGAACAGAGTTTTCTTTTCTGCTACCGGTATGATGCGTTCTGCCGGTCGTTCGGCAAGATTACTTACAATGCATCTGCCAGGATATTCGTCCTCGTCCTGCATTCTTTTAAGTTGCTCATCAACGCTATGCGCCGAACAGATGTTTCTAGTCCTTTGCGCAGAACAGCGGACTAGATAACAATTCTTTTGAAGGGGTACGGAACTGTAGAAGTTCGTATTTTGCTCAGACCAGGTATTCTTTCGAATGCTGCCTTCAGCTCTTCTGCTTAGGCGAGAGTCCAGAAAAGGCAGAGGGTCTGACCCTTCAACATCCAACGTACACCTGATGGACGAAGGTGCTTGATTTACAGCATCCAAGAGGGTGGTTATGTTGGTTTCTCTGGTGGAAATTTTAAATGAAGGGATTTATTAACTTTGGGCCTCCAAACCACCTATAAAGAAAATGTCTCGTTAAGGAAATTATTTCACAAAATAGTAAAATTTTATTTGAGTTTCAGCAAGGACTTTGCCTGCTCCGGTAACTTATCTTCTTGAATCGTGCTTTCTAATGCATTTTTGAACTTCATTTAAATGACCAAATTAAAGAATAAAGTATTATTCTTGCTGATGTAGTCTACTTGACACATTGGGCGGGGACCAATGAATGATCGACATTTTGGCAGAACAAAGCGAATTGGACTTGATGAAAATTCAGAAATTATATAATTCCGCCAAATTTTAGATAAAATAAGAGAAGAATGATGAAATACATTTGCTCAGTTTTCGCTACGATAGTTTGCGTAAATGGATGCTCAAGCGGGACAGGTGAGTTATATTAGTTTAAATATTCTTCATTTGTTTAGAGAGCGTTTTATTTTTAAGAGAAACGCGACCATTGCCACTTCCATTTTAGTCAACTTAAAGTGACGTTTCCCGCCGACTTCTCTAAATTTTAATTTAGATGAATAAAAGTGTTTTCCCATAGTTAAAATTTTAAGGCCGTTTTGAGATGCTAGTTAGTAAAAAATATTTTCTGTAAACAGTTAAAATATGCGTCAAAATTATAGTCTGCTAATTGAAAAAGGCAAAATTGCAGCTTTAGATTAAATACGTTCCGCAAACTTCTGCCTGACCTTGCTCATTTTCATAAAAGGACATTCAGACGCGACTAATATGTGCCCACCTCAACGAATGGAGTTGTCTCTGCAGGAGATTGTTCAACATCTACTAGAGAAAACGAGCGACGTCAGTGCAACTCGGAAAACCGGTCCGGAATTTTCGACTCGCGTACGCATGCGACTACATAACCAAGCTGAAGTGTATAACTGCACGACCGTCAAAGTCATTCCGCGAAAGAACGTCAAACAGTGCATGTGCCAAGTACTGTTCCCCTCCATCAACACCTGGTTTGAACAAACGGTGCGTTTGAATTAAGCTCTTTTTATAACCCTTGTCAATATTGGTTGCAAACTACGTGGATACAGTCCCTCCTTACCTGTGGATGATGTTCTTGCCCTTAGGATCCATTCGGCAGGGCCGCTCCTCGTGAAATCAGGTTCAACGCCTACTTCCATCTGATATTTCGCAATGTGTCCTCGAGGGTTACGGTGGATATGACGTATGCGCACAGCGCGGACAATGCTACCAACCTGATTCTTCTCTCCGCCATCGAAATTTACAACGTACCGCGCAATGCTTCATGGTTAACCCTAACTAATTACAGTCCGATATCTTCCATATGGGCTGGATTAGTCCTAAATAATATAGAACAGTGGTTAAATGAGGCAGCTTTACACCTGAAGCCATTGTATTGCTATTACTAAGTCCAAGCTATGCATATGTGTTTCTTTTCGGTGATATTGGTCTGCTAGCACGACGTTTATTTTAAAATACAAGAGAGGGTTTTCATTGAAAATCATGGATGCCTACTCGGATTATGTCAAACCTGACTACCACACTGTAGCATTGTTCAGTCCAGTTCAGTTTTTTTGAGAGAACGTATGTGGGCACCTTTGAAATCAGTATTTGCGACACATAGAGGAAGTATGTGAAAAATATTTAAAAGGAGTAACATCAAAGACCTACAAATAATGTATCAAAATCTGCACAGATAAACAAGGTATTTTATACGCTAGCAGCTTTGGTAGACATGTGTACTCAGGTAGGTGCGTAACACAGCAATTACTTGAAGCGCATCTAAGCTACAGGGAAAGTAATATAATCTGTAGTTGGCCATTGTCAAGGCAGCATCGTCGGCTTGGTACCTCAAATGGTTAGAGGCATGGACTTTTAACTAACAGGTCGCGAATTCGAGCCTCGGGTGTTCCACACTTTGGGGTTGGGTACGACTGGCTGAGGACGGCTCATAAGCCAGAAATGGTCATTCCAGTCTCCCTTGTCTTTGTCGGTAATAACATACTGCCTACATCATGCACCGCTGTAGTCTGCTGGTTGGGCTCAGGGAGAGAGAGCCCGTAAGGCACAACGGAACGAGTGAGTTCCGTAAGAACGATCGGTGGGCGCCGCCTATCACTGTATATTCCCGATCGAAACCGACAAGGCAACGGGCTCGTGGCCCAGCGGTAAAAGTTCTAAAGGAGGTTGCATGCAAACTCTGCAGGCAGCTTCCGCACATTTTCCAGCCGTCCTTTCATCCAGGCACTAACCCCCGCCCGCCCCTAAGGTGGGTCCAGAACAAGGGCTAAGAACTATCAGCCGGTGATTCTAACATGTACTTGTTGCAAAGTTATGGAAAGGACAGTCGAACAACTACTATGAAGTTCATCGAAGAAAAGGATTTCTTTGACAGTGTCTAGCATGGCTTTCGACGAAACCACTCTAGTTTAGTCAGTTTACTGTGTTAAATGGAGGAGTAGTCTCGCTCGTTAGATGACGAGATAGAGCAGTCGATTTCGCTCAAATCACCTTTAACAGTGTTCCACACCTCCGGTAAGTCTATCATGTCCGTGAGTCCGGGGTAAGGGGAACCTACCAAACTGAATAGCGAACTTCTTGATCGGCTGATCACAGTTTGTGTGCCTTGGTGATGCGAAATCAATGCCAGTGCCGGTTGTAAGCGAGGTACCTCAGGGCTCCGTGCTCCAACCACTAGCGTTTTTAATTTATGTCAATGACTGTACGAACGGACTTGACTGCAAGGGAGTCATGTTTACAGATGACAGCGACATTTGACTGGCGATCAAATGTAAAACTGATGAGCGGACTCCCCAACAAGGACTAAACTGCCAGACTGAATGACTGTTTAAGTTTTTCTTTGCAAAGTCCGTTGCGCAGCGGTTTAAAACGAAGATGGAGAGGGCAGATGGAGATAATCATTAACAGTTCCTTGGTAAAGAGCACCTATCAAATAGGATTAAATAAAAGGACTTCGGAATCATCATTTTGACCTCTCTGAAGCCCTCCTCTCAAACCGGCAAACAAGCATCTTTACTCTGCACCCAACATTAACGGGTCATTATATACAGTAGGTGTGCTAACTCATGAAATATCAACCGAAATTCCGAAATACGTTTTCGTTTTGAAAAGATTAATTAAATAGAGCTGTAAAACTGGTCATCATTCAGCAAAATTCCGTAATATTTTAGTTGCCTCAAAATGTCGGCTATCGAATGAACATCCTTCCGGCTGCATGCAATAACCACACATGCCGTAAGAAACCGATAGTTACAGTAGGTGGGCTAACTCATGAAATGTCAACCGAAATTTGGAAATGCGTTTTCGTTTCGAAAAGATTAACTAAGTAGAATTGTAAAACTGGTCAACCTGCAACATAATTCTATAATCTTTCTGTTACCTCAGGATGCCGGCTTTCGAATGAATATCCTTCTGGCTGCATGCAAGAACTACACTCTGCAAACCAAATGACTACTTAAATAGCATGCATTTTTCTCATTAATTTTCGATGCCTCCAAAGGTCATATTATATTTCATGGAAAACAGGCATAAAAATATTCATCTTTTAGCTCATTCGGCAGATAATTACGTCTTCTAATTTTATACTTGAAGGAGGGACATAATTCTGTTTTAAAAAGGTTTCGAATTTTGGGACATTTAAATACTGTGTAGTGGCCGTTCATAAATCGTCATGTCTCTGCATTTACCAATGTGGCTTGTAAAGTTAACAATATGGATCAAATCCACAGCTAAATTTTATGAACCCCATATGGTCACCCTTTATTACCGTGGATAAATGTATGGTTTTCCGTGCGCGGAAAATATACGACTTGTAGTTTGGACACCCTGAATCCAAGGATAACGGTAGAACGGGTTCAACATTGTCGATTTAGCAGAAGAAGATGTGAGAGAGGAACCTCTTACGCTTAGTGTATGCAAGTCACTGGGCCGAATCAAATACTGGTAAACGTTCTGCGGGAGTTTGCATGCAAATCCTCCAGAAAGCTTTCCAACGTTTCCCAGCCGTCCTTTCATCCAGGCACAAACCCCCGCCCGCCCCTGGGGTGGGTCCAGAACAAGTGCTAACAACTATCAGCCGGTGGCCCTAACATGTATTTGTTGCAAAGTCATGGGAAGGATAGTAAAAAAACTACTATGAAATTCCTGCAAGAAAAGGATTTCTTTAACAGCGTCTATCATGGCCTTCGGCGAAACCACTCTTGTTAAGTCAGTATGCTTTGTTAAGTGGAGGTGATCATAGGAAGATAGCACATATCATGAAACCAAGTCCGCTGACAGCTTGTGGTCGCGTATTTGAATTTAAGCTTCCCTGACGAACTCATTTCAGGAGAAATAGGTCTCATCATTCTTTCGAATTCTTCACTCCACTGCAAGCTGCCGTGGCCACTCTGTCGTCATTTTCAACCGGGCTGTTTTACTGATCTGTGACTATCTCAGGATTAAGTGATATGGAAGTGATGGAGCTTGTTGGCCTGCAAGGTTTTACACGACCACAGTCATCGTCAGAGAAACTACCCTCTCCCATCCCCAATGTCATTAATCTGCGGGGTTATCGTAATGCCAATCAGATAAGACGTCTCGCACGACAGCTTTTTACGTTGTTTGCTTGTTAGCTGGAATCGGTATGCTGGCCGAAATTCATCAGGTTTTAAAATGGGAGTTGATTTATTTTTGGTTGCTGCGGTAGTGAAAGCGCAGGCATATTCTTCAGTGATAATTGGTTTTTGTCTGCTCGAACGTTGCCAGAAGGCCTCGTTCAAAAATAGTGGGTTTTAATTTGTCCTATCGCCAAGGTTTGCACCTATACAAATTGAATCACAATATGAGAGAATATACAGTAGATGACCTAACTCATGAAGTGTGTCGAAATTTGCGAATGATTGCCAATCACTCGCAAACCGACAGCAATTCATGAATCCCATATCTATGTTAATTAACTGCAATAATGACAAAATCAAAAACATAAAATAAATCCTGTAGACAGTGCTGTGTTGCTTTAAAAGTTCGTTTTTTAGAAAAGCACATCAGTGCCTATCAAACACTGTGAAGTACTGTGACAAA